TCGAAATTGCACGAGGTCCGATCCTGAGTTAAAGGGATTAAATTCTCTGACTCGAAAAAGGACCGACGATCGCACCGCTCACGAAAGGCGTCCTAACGTCCTTACAGACGTTGACCCTTTCTGAGTCATAAAAGTGCGTTCGGCTCGCGCCACGCGTCTCCGAGCGCGTACCTGCGAGCGACATTTGTAAGTATCTAGCTGCGTCCTCCCTTCCCCCGACCCCTCTGGCTAGCCTTTTCCTTGCTTCCCAGATTTTCATATCCTATCCCGGGGTTGGACGTAACACATCTATAATAGAAAAATTTTGTTTCTATTGATTCCAAAAATATCCAACTTTCGTAAAATCGCTTTGGGAGATCCCGCAGCGAGAGTGAAAGACTATAGATAACGAAACAATATAAAAACTTATTGATAGGCTGCTTAAACTTTGTGCAAATGTGATCCAAAATAAATGAGGATTTTTTGATGAGAGAAATGTTTAAATATTTTTTATTTACTTTTAGTTCAGAATATTTTAAATCATTGTTTTCTTTTTGTTATTTAATAGTAAAATATAGTTATAAGATTTATTTACAGGCATTTTTAATTAAAAAAATTGCTTTTATCTTGTTATTTTAACATGTATTAATCAATAATCTTGAATTTTCTGTTCGATAGTGTATACACAATATGCAATATAAATGTCAGATAAAAAGATAAAATTGATTTTGTTTTGAAAATCGGTCATATAACATGAAAATTGTATGTTCAAATTATGATATCATAGCTCAGAGATATCGTAACTATTTAAGGATGTATCACACGTACAATCTTAGACAAAAGTGCATGAAATTTGAAATACTTGAATATCTACGCCTAACGCATAGTAAATCTAGATGTAAGATACTCAAATGACAGTAGGAGTCTTATTTTTACTCCTAGAAAAGTATTTTTTACTTTATAAATGTTTTTTCCGTATTATTTGCGATTTTTGTAATTTATGAGCCTAAACTTTTGGCAGTGAAAATACCCTGATTTCAACTTTATAACGTCAAATTATTAATAATTATTATTAATAATTATTATTAATTATTAATTTATTTCTTTAAAACGGTGTAGTGAAGACAATTGAAACTTGGCAGATATTTTCATCTATTCGTATACTAGATGTACAAAAAAATTCAAAATATTGGTAGCGCTCCTTCAACATTTTTTTAGCTGTTTTATCCGCTAAAATCGTCTCTTCTCATAAGAATACGTGTAAAATCAGTGAAAATTAAAATCGTTATATCTCAGCAACCGTTTAGTGGATTTGTTTCTACTTTTTTGTAGCACATCAGAAAGACTAAAAGAACATTCTCACAAATTTTTATCCACTTGGTAGCGCTTTGAAAATAGGTGCAATACATCCTTAAAACATTTTGCATTGAAAAGTGCATACTTTCACGTTTACAGCAATATATTATTATATTATCCAACAGGTTTAAATAAAAGTATTATTCTACTTTTTTATTGATTACCTTTATGTTATTAGAAATATACACGTGTCTTAGGAAGAGCGCAATTATTTTATTGTTGTTCGATAATAAAGTGTATACCGCCCTTCACCGCGAGACTAAATGATTTTTCGTTAAAAACAAACTGCAGTCTGGGAGTGAGGTTTGAACTTATATTTGAAAAGAAGACTCACGAGTCCAACTTTCGTTTGCACGTGTCCAAATCGCGCTCCTAAAAATTAATAACACCAATGGAATAAAACTTATATAAAACGTGCACAAGATGTTAAGAATAACTTTAAATAATAATTTGATAAATAAATTATAGATATATTAATGGATTTACTCATATTCTTACCAATGCAGATTCGTGGGCCTTCTCCAAATGGCAAATAAGCATAAGGATGCATTCTTGCTTTCTCGTCTGCGTTAAATCGTTCAGGATCAAATTTATCTGAATCAGGATAAATCGATGGATCCCAATGCAGCCTAAGTATTGGTATAAAAATAGAAGTCCCCTTTGGCAGATGAATGTTCGTTGTCGGTAGATTAATATTTTTAGTACAAATGTGATTCAACATTGGAAGAGGTGGATATTTCCTCAGAGTCTCTGCAATATATAAAAGAAAAGTAATAAAATATATCTCATTCAAAATACAAACTATTTATTTAAACTTACATATTATAATAACAAAATATTTTTGTTATTTATTATAAAATACTTGCCATTTATTACTTTGGTTAGATAAGGCATTTCGTTCATAGCGTCGTAGGTCAGATCATGCTTTGTCAACGTTTCGTCGATTTCCTTGTGAACTTTGTCTTGTATATCTCGATGATGAGCTAATTCGTATAAAGCGAACGTTGCCGTCGCCGTGGAAGTTTCGAAGCCAGCTAGGAAAAAGATAAAACTTTACGCATATAGTTTTTTTTAATAATCTATTTCAAAAGAAATCTTAATTATTTGATTTACAAAACTGCAACGTGAGATAACATAAGTAAATTTTTAAGACATATATAGGGGAACTATATTAATATAATATGTAATATGTAATATGTAATATGTAAAAATGTATATTAACATGTTACGTCGGTGGTCTTCTTGTCATCGTCAACATAGCCTTTCTCCATGAGTTGAATGAGCAGATTCATAAAAACGTGTTTTATCACTTTATGAACTTGCCTATATATTCCACATTCTCCCGAAATATATTTGTGTAAAAACTTGTGATGCGTCAATCTGTGAGGGGGATGAAAAAGATGTCCATAATTTTCGGAATGGACATAGACAGGATAAATCGTATTATTTTTATTTTTAAAATATTTTTTCCTTGAATTCGATACTCATCATTGTTCGGCTCCTCAATACAATTAGAGCAAATTGGCAAATAACTTCTATATAGTAACTTCTATCGAAATGTACGATACACATTAAAGTTGTTGTAAAATTACATGAGATTAATAATTTGAACAAATAAAGACAGATTAATATATAAAAAATTAAGTAAAAAAAATTTTTTATGTTATAAATATGCTATTTATCCTCCTTCATCCTATAATTATAATATTTACACTTTTTATCTTCAAATTCAGGAGTTTCTATTCTTTGCTGTTTGAAAAACTTTATTTAAGTAACAATTAAGAAAAATAATTACCTTGCAAATATCTTTTATCTCGATGGAATCTCTTATCTGCGCTTTGTTGTCTAGGTACTTTGCGAGTCCTTCGCTACATTCCTTTATAATCGGGAACATCTGCTTTTTTTTTTAACGAAATGAAAATGGATGTCATCTTGGTGCGCATATTTCGCCATCTCTTTTCATTTATAAAAAACAATTTGTCGTATAACGGATTAATTTTTTCATTGAAGTATAACCCACGATCATGGAAACTTCCAAAGCCCTTTGTCAATACCGTTCGAATAAGATCAGGATCAGCGATTACCAACAATAATTTAAAAAACATATATAGTTCGAATGCCCGATGATCCTTATATTTCATGTAGGCATCATGCAAAAATATACCTGTTTATGAATTTTTCTTTTACATAATTATGCGATATTTTTTAAGTGAAAATACGAATTAAAAAAAGAGTAAAAGTGAATATAATAACGGACCCAGTTCCAATGACCTTGAGCTTGACCTTGAAATATTTTGTCATGATCTTGAGTAACTATCAAAAGGTTTTAAGCGTCGCTCGTTGTTTATTAAAAGGTTATTAACAAAAAAATTTTCACAAATTACATATAATTTTCTGCATATACCATGTACGTTTCACGTAATGTATTCTTAACTGCTTTACTCATTTGTTTATGTGTAGTAAATTGAACACTATTAACCTAACCCAAGCCAATTGTTGTATGGGTCAGATTTTTCAAATCTCACTTATTTATAACTCAGTGGTAAGGTTAGTAATTTACTGAATGACCGTGTATAGACAGTACACAGTACACATGTAGGCGGGGGAAGAGCTACCGTCTCTCGTAGAAAATAACTAAATAGAAAAAGAAGAAAATACAAGCTATAATGCACACATAAAAATATATATATATAGGCAAAAACTTCATAACTAATTAGGTCCACTCAATTTTTTTTTTAATATCTCTTACATTAAAGACAGAATTGGTATAGAAAACCCACGTTTTCTGGCCAGTACATCAACTTTTTTTCTAGCCATCCGTTTAAATATAAAGTTAATATTATCACGAGTCTTCTTGATCGAGCGATCTTATTGTCTGACGAAAGCTTCCACGAATCTAACATTAAGAAAATACTTTTGAACAATTCCTTTCCAATCAATCTCATCA